CTACCGGTACGAGGCTGCCACTCGAGAACCTTTCTTCCCCATCGGTTATCGGTTCTTCGAGCTATATGGCCGGCCCATTGCCACTTCAGCTTACTAATCCGTTGGGTTATGTCGGTCACTCTGGTTTTACTGCGGATATCCTCATTTCTGAGTCTATCACGCAGAGAAACTCCGAGCTTAGCCCTCTCCATAGCTCGCTGTGCGACCTAGAGCGTCCTCATACGGCCAGCAGTAAAGGACCACGTCTCAGATCCGTAAGTTATCACTGGCAACACGCACTGGTTGTACAATCTAGTTTTTAGAGATTGAGGTATACCTGACGAGAAAATATGTCGTAATTTCCCGAACGCTGCCCAGCCGAGTTGAATCCGTCGATTGACCTCTCGGTCGAAGTTGGACTTACCTAGTCGGACTATTTGTCCCAGGTAAACGTACTCGTCAACAACTTCGAGCATAGTGCTCCCAACAACTACTGGCATAGGTGTGACATGGACATTAAACATGATCTTTGTTTTGTCCATGTTCATCTTAAGACCTATCCGTTGGGAGGCACTATTGAGGTCATTGAGCATAGTGCTTAAGTCCTCCAGCGATTCTGCCATAAGGACTATATCGTCGGCAAATCGAAGGTGAGTGATGTACTCGCCATTGATGTTAATACCGTATCCTTTCCAGTCCAGTAGCTTGAAAACGTCTTCCAATGCAGTGGTGAAGAGTTTCGGGGATATAACGTCACCCTGTCTTACACCTCTCTGCAGTTGGATAGGCTTCGAGCTCTGGTTCTGTACTCGGATAGCCATCGTAGCCCTACTGTACAAACACTTCAGCACTTCGATATACCGACAGTCAACTTGGCACCGCTGAAGGGACTGTAGCACCGCCCAAATTTCGACGGAATCAAAGGCTTTCTCATAGTCCACATACGCCAGACAAAGTGGCAGATTGTACTCTTCAGTCTTCTGTACAATCTGCCGCAAGGTATGTATGTGGTCTATGGTACTGAAGCCTTTTCGGAAACCGGCTTGTTCGGGAGGCTGGAAGTCGTCGAGTCTGCGTGCGAGACGATTCGTAATGACTCTCGAAAACAGCACGTAGACGCGGCTCAGAAGGGAAATCAGTCTGTAGTTACTCAAGAGAGCGTTGTCGCCTTTCTTAAAGAATAAGACCACCGCACTTCTGCTCCACGCCTCTGGAGTAGTGCCACCATGGAGGACGGAATTGAAGAGCTTCTAAAGGACTTCAAGTACCGGTGTTCCACCCGCTTTCAGAAGCTCCGCTGTAATTCCATCCTCGCCTGGACCCTGCCCTTTTTAAGGTGCTGGAGAGCCATTCTAATCTCGCTTAGACTGACGTCCGGGATATCATCGGAATAGTGTCGGATAAGACTTGCTCTTGGATCGTTACTCACACTTGTATGTGGCTCCAACGATGATGTGTACAGCTGCCCATAGAACCTCTCAATCTCACTCAAAATCTCAGGTGTCCCGGAAACGATGCTGCCACACTCGGTCTTAAGCTTTGGCAGTTGGCTCTTACTTGCAGACAGATCTCTGGCAAAGACTTTCGAGCCCTGTTTCCGCTCGACCGGTTCTTTAATACGAGCAGTATTAAAGTTGCGTAAGTCTCGCCGCATGCATTTGGAGATCTGTCTGTTCAGTTGCCTGTATGCTGTCAAATCTGTTAACGATTGCAGCCTCATATTCCGCTAATAGCCATGAGATTAAGAGTGTGATCGGAGAGTTTTTATGTTCTTCTGTGGCGGGTCTTGCAGAACTTAGCTCCGACCGCATGGACAGTTTCCACGAGCTTGTCATTCATATCGTCCACTGCATTGCAATCTTGTAGGCACTGAAAGCGGTTACGTAACTCGAGCTGAAAGTTTACGGGATTCTGGATTAGAGCACGAGGGGGACGGAGCGTTGACTTCATTAGACGAGACCTCTCCAACTTAACGTTTAGGTTCTGTGTGCCTCTAACCATTCGGTGATCGCTGCCAGTTTGCACCCTTGCGATCACTGAGACATCACTGAACAGTTGGCGTCTGGTCGTCATAATGAAGTCAATCTCATTTTTTGTCGAACCGTCGGGGGCTCGACCAGGTCCACTTCCTGTGGGGCCGCTTCTGGAAGAAAGAGTTCATCATAAAGAGTCCCTCTTTCTCCATAAAGTCGGCCAGCTGCTGGCCCCTTCGGTTCCGTTGCCCTACTCCAAATTTCCCTAACTTCAGCTCACCGTTTTCTCTTATGCCTAGTTTTGCGTTTAAGTCTCCCATCAACACCGTGTAGTGGGTTTTGGATGAATGCATGGCTTTGGAAATATCCTCATACATTTCCTCCACCTCCTCATCGGGATGTGCCGAGGTTGGTGCGTAAACCTGTATGACCTTCAGCGAATACCGTTTGGTGATTCTGAGTATCAGGTACGTGACCCTCGTCGACACACTCCCAATCTTTACAAAGTTGTTGACGAGAGACTTGTGGACGATAAATCCGACACCTCCTTGGGACAGATGGTCGCCCTCCCGTTGATAGAACAAGTTGCCGGATTCGAGAATCACCGTGTCCTCCCCCTCTCTTCGGACCTCGGATAATCCTATAATATTCCAGCGCAACTTGTCTATCTCTTCTTCCAGCTCCAGGATCTTCTCGTCAGTCCTCAGGGTGCGTGCGTTAAATGTTGCCAGGTCGAGTCGTCGTAGGTGGCAACCGAACCTCCACCGGAGATTTTTAGCACCCCCTGCCCCGCCGTTACCATGGTCGCCACCGTAGCCAGGAATAGCGGGGCCGCCGGGGACTGGGGGCCGTTTATTTGCGTCGTTGCTCATGGGGGATATTTGCCATAGTTGCCATGCTTGGCGAGCGGGTTGGCAACCGCAGTTTTTTATTATGTTATTGTTTTATTAGGAAGATGCTGCTGCCCATCTCCTGCTCGTTTCCCTCTGTCGCCTTTTACGATACCCACGGGAAGATATGGGGTAGTGGATATTCTTAACCGCCACTACACGGCAATATATGTAGGTAAATCAAATAAATTATAAAATAAATAGGTTCACACATAACTTATATCGAAAAATCAGTCTCACGTGTTTTAAGCTCGCTGTTAATTATTCTGGGACATAGGAACTTTGGTAACAAAAGAATCTGAGGCAGCTATTTAAAAGTAAACAAAAACCTCAGTACTTACTATTTTAATTCTACATTTTAACGTTTTTTAATCGTAATGCGGAGTAGTAACACAACAAAATAAAATATTAATAATTTTGTTCTTAAAAAACTTAAAAAAAAAAAAACAAATTTTAAGTCTCTCCCTTTGTATAACAAAAAAAAACCACTTAATTCTTGAATAATGATTGTTATGGCCGATTAATCGGCTAAAATACTAATCGGTCCAACTCTAATGTATAGATATAGATAGCGAATAAAAATTTTTACAATGCTCTCTATTATTTAAATTTTCCTTATGTTAGTCAATCACTCCATAATGGATGCACCCATTATTGCCTTTTTCGTTATCGTCTTCGATTTCTTAGAACAAACGCACAGACCACAGCCATCTCTTCGAAATCCATGTTGATGAACGCGGCAAAATTTTACGAAAAGTAGTGTAGCTATCGCTCTCGTGTGCGCATCGTTCAAATCTGAGGAGACAGTAATAGAGACAAAAAGTTGTTGAGCATATAAGTTGATGGTGAGCGCCCTCTCCAAGGATTCACTTGGCACTGATTGAATGAAGAGATATCGTCATCATATATGTATCTCTAGATATATGTGCTATATCTGCAGATTTAAGCTGTCGTGTAAAATTTTCCAAAAATATCACCATGTGACGCACCAACAGCAAGCTTCATCATCATCATCGTTATAACAGCCCTTCGCATCTGCATTTTATATGTATGTATGTGCATATATGGACCACAGCAACCACTTATCATCAGGTAACTGTGGACTCGTTTGCTACCCTTATCTTATATTTAAAAAATACCATAGGTAAAACCTAACATCAACTAGTTATTCACGTTATCCTTGCGTTGTTTTTAAATATAGCTGTAGTAGTGTAGTATTCTGTAAATAAAAAAATAAATAAAAAATAATGCTGCTGGAACTCTTATATTTAATAATGAAAGCCGGGGACCCTTTGCATTCGTGATGAGGCATTCCATCTTAGTCCTCAAAGATGACCTCGCAACTGCATGACCAAGTACAATAGAGTCTACGTGTTACAGCATCCAATTACATTTAGGTGATTTTTTTTATAAAAAAATGTACTTTGCCCGTCCATTTGGTGGTTGTATTGATGATCACTGTACCTGGACGTCTTGTCACCATCACACTGCTTCCTGTAGCTGGGCAGTTCATTTCTGGCATATACGCCAAGTATCAGAAGCCACATCATGCTCTTCTAGGCATTTCTCTTAGTCTGCTCTTATCACAAGAGCCTCTTTTACCAGATTGTTGACGCTCCATGTAGTGGGCGACCGCTTTAAACTTCGCTTAGGGGGCGTCCTTTAATTACATGAGGTGTTTTGGGGGAATGGGGGAAAAATGGGGATCTGCATACAAGCGTTAACAGGTGCATACGTTCACGCCCTGGAACAGGCTTTCTAATTCTTTCTTTTCTTACTTTCTGTTTTTTGTGCACGTTTTAGGTATTATTTATTTCACATACATTACCCTCGCACTGTCACTTTGGTAACAACTGCTTTCTACCATTCACTTGTGATTTAGTTTAGAATAAAATGCACGACGATAACTAGTCAATAAGATGCTGTTCTTAAATCATTAAAACGAATTTATCACATAACTACCGATTAAATTTAATTATGTTAGCAAATTAGGCGAGAATTGATTGAGTGAAACATTCGCCAAAGACTAACAAAACAAAATGAAGATACCAATTAAACACATTCATACTTTCGAGTAATATTTTATTAGTAACATGTAGCTAAAATAAATATAACAAGAGAGCAAATCACAAAACATGTAATTGTTCAGATTTTCCACTTAAAATTGTAGAGCCCATCTCGACAGAATCCACAAGATGAAACCGATGAAAACGTATCGAACTGTGAGATCGACAGCTCGCATTCTGTTAAAAAAGATAAGAAATTTAAATATTGTTATATAATATTATTATAATTATTTATAATAATAATAAATATTATTATAAATAATATATTAATAAATATAGGAATAATTGAATTATACTTAATTAAATATATTTGGATGATATAATATTTTAATTCAAATGTTACAATTCAGCAAATCTTTGTAAAACTTAATTTAGTGGTTACAATATTACTTCTGCTAAAATATTACAAAATATCATTAATTATTTAACATTATTGAAGAAATGTTCAAGTAATCCGTCAAAATATAAAAAGAAGAAAATTTCGAAGGTTGTTGATATAAGCGAAATGCCACTGAGATCTTTAAAACTATACCCCCGATTGACATAAAATTTATATTATATACTTTTTTCTCGACGTAGACATCCACAAAGAAAGGATATATGAAAATTTAACGGTGAGAGGGTGTAACAGCTTGTAACATAATATTATATTGCGAACCTAAATTAACATAGGTTGTTGTTCTTTCTTTTGTTCCCATTAAAAAAAATGAAAAAAATGGCACAGCCTGGCATGTTCTAACTCTGCATGACTCTGCCCACACTGCCCTTTACACTTCTGAATTTATACATTTGAAATACGTCTAGAAATAATATTTTAGTAATGTGGTGCTAAGGGCCACGTGTAAGCTCTTACTTTAACGAAACAGGGTTACCAGTAAAAAGCTTACATTTTCATGTGCCGTTTCGCCGCTGGTATTGTGTCGTCAGTTTCTTTGAGTATGTAGACACGTGCGGCTCGCACGCAGTCTTCAAAGTAATTGGGAATATCCACACCTGTAACAATTTTTTGTATTTTATTTTTATTTTCCGTTGAAGTATTTGTTTTAACTTAGTTTGATGGCGTCGTTAGAGAATCCCATTTAGAACCGTGGGTATACTAATAGTTACTAGTAAATAATCACATTAAAATTGTCACATTTAATGATCTTAGTTAAGATAGAACTTTGAACTGCAATAATATTGAATACTACAGATGATTAAATAATAATGTCGGGGAGTAAGCGTCAAAGGTATAAAACAAAATTGCAGTAGATTTTTCTAACTTTATAAAATATAATAAAACGCCACACAGTGTTGCCATCCCAACGACATTAAAGCCAGCACAGAATAAAATTGTATATACCTACTTATCGGTCAGTTGACTATTGAAAACCGAAGAATATTATTTGTAATAATAATATATCGTTAGTTCATTCCGATGACGAATTAAAACATTTCAATCAAGATGAGAAAGTTTTTTGTCATTTTAAAGCCGTCGAAACTCAGTCACTTAACGCTCGCCGTAGTTTCTTTAAAAGAAACAAGACGTTCTCAAAAAAGAGGAGATCCATTATAGCTGGTAAAATGTATATAGGGTTTCATTATTATTATTAAGTTTCAAGTAACAAAAACTCGTTTACTACAAACGTAAAATACCCAGACCGGTGACGGGCAAAATCGTTAAAAGTGGGAGTAGCTGACAGCTGGCACTGCGATTGCCTTTTTACCTGTCAGCGTGACGGTTAAGTGGATCATCTCTAAAACTCCAGTATTGATCCAGCAGTGAACCTTTACGGGCCTGTGTATTGTTCCCTTCCTTTCCTTTGTTGTCGATTAAGAAGAGGAATTTCAATAGATATTTTAGAACTTACCATCGGCGTCGATTTTGTAGTCCTCTTTTTCCCTCGCGTTAAGATGCACACGCAGTCGCTGACAAGCATCCGACTGGAAGTCCCACTGGTTGTTTGTATAGTACTCGAATACATCGAACCCTTTACTGATGCGACGGTGAACTCGCATTAGACTGGATAAAAACGGTGTAAAAACGAACTATTATTTCGAGTTATTGTTGAAATATGTTTCAAAGAGGGCCATGATTTCTTGCCACCAGGGCGGAGCGACTTAGGAATGAGGTGAAGTATTCGGCAGATTAGATTACATGGCGGGGAAGTTCATTTGCTACGAAAATGTAAGGATTATTTTTCGTTATGAAATAACAGTTACATTTTATACTAGCGATCCACCCCGGCTTCGCGCGTGTGATTTTTAAATATCGATATCGATATCGATAATATATGCATATGTACTATACATATAAACTTTGCTCTTGAATCATTCCATCTATTGATGAACACCGCATCAAAATCCGTTGCGTAGTTTATAAGATCTAAGCCGTCTAAGCGTACAGATGACGGGAAGCGACTTTGTTTTATGCTATGTAGAGATTAATTATTGTAGATTAGAAATGAATAAACCAGACTACGGATATTCCTAAAAGTATAAAAATTAAATAAAAGAAGTAAAAATGTGAAAAACATTAAGGAGTAAACGACTGAGGCATTATTTTATGCATTAATAATAATACTCTGGAAACCGACAAAAATTTATTTGAAGTGCAACTTCTGTATTATATCACATTGTGTAACGAAAAAAATCACCTCATTACCAGCTAGCGACATCTGGTTAACGGAAGATTCTTTTCAAAGAATTTTCCCAAAACTGCTAGTCACAATTTTATGAGCTGATTTACATGCATGCATTTCTGCGTATGAACGTACGAGCGAAGTGTTTTAGCCGAGACATGAAGACATCTATTCCAACACTTACATCTACACACAAGTGACTTATTAAGGGCCTATACTACCTCAGCTTAAATTGTAATTTCGCCCTTACTTCCCCGCGCGTCGTTTGCCATGTACTAACATGTTTGTAATCACTAATACTGTAAGTTGAAAGGTCGTTAGATACTTATTTCATTAGTTTTATCATATTTATGCCTGTTTCTTTACGCCAACCCAGTCGCTTCTTATTTTTATTACGGTTATTTCCCATTTTGATTTTACGTCGTCCTGTTGCGTAATGTGTATTCTGATCGTAAGCGACACAGCTTTCCCGTTCAAAAGCCGAAGCGAGACTGATCGGCATCGGGCGGCAGGGAAGACCAGGAAACAAGCTTCAAATCTTCAAAACGCCGATAGCTTAGTTAATTTCTTTTTACAGTGAAAATAATGGTAATTAAAAAAAAAAAAAAAACATAAGCCCTGCTTCATATTTAGTTCAGTTAGTATGCAAAGTTTCATGACCTAATTTAAAGTAGGTATTTTATGAATAACAGCGGTTTATTGTTCAGTTTTGAGGTAACTTTGGATTTTTCCAATCGAGAAAATTTTACGGAATCGTATTTTCGTCTAAAATAGTACTTAACATTAATCCTCAACTTTACCGTATATTTATTTCATAATTAATGCGCAATATTTTCGACGTAACGGAGGATCTTGCTAAGACATTTAAGGTAGGTATAGGCCCTAAATTTTTCAATATTGCTTAACAAACAAACAAACAAAAAATGAAATAGAATAATGTTCTGTTCCACCCATAGAGGAACTTTCATATGGTGGGTGTTTAGCTTAGACTACTTACTGGTTGAATGGTCTAAGGCTCTGAGGTGTTTAGCGATATAGGATACAAAATCGTAGTGATTTTTACACTTTTTGACACAGATTATATTCACAGGAAGACTGTTATTTTAAAATTTTAATCTATTTCAAAAATATCTACGTCTAGTGTGTTAGTATAACGGTTTTTTATTATATATTTAATATATTAATGTAAATATTAAAAAAAGTCAAGTATATTATGTAACTTACACTGGTTCAAATCTCAGAATGTAGAGCAAAGTGTCGATTAAAATTGCGGGTATCCAGTGAAATAATATCGCGCAGATATTGTGTGACAGTCTGGAGTGTTTCATCGAACCGCCAGGGTACCTGAAAAAGAAATCTATTATATATATATATATATATATATATATATATATATATATATATATATATATATATATATATATATATATATTGGGTCCTTACATATGAAATTAGCGTTTTGTCTTACTGACCACTTTGATCTGAAGTATCTCCTTTTTGGTTAAGAATTCCAAATTCAAATTTATAATTTATAAATTCATTTAGCTGGTACATTTGAGATTTGAAAACATTCATTCATTTGTTTTTCCTCGTTATTTTTTCTTTGGCATTGCTTATTACCGCATAATGGTAAACATGAAATATCGGTATAGTTACGAGTACGCGTTCTACCGTGGCACCAGTGCTGCAGAAACAGCGCGAAGGATTAATGATGTGTACGGCGCTGGTGTCGCAAAAGAAAGCACTGTACGTTTTTGGTTTCATCGTTTTCGTTCTGGAAATTTCGACCTTCAGAACCAACCCCGTGTACGGCCGGAGACCAAAGTGGGAAATTAAGAATTAAAGGCTATTGTGGAAGCAGATCCATCACAAAACACTTCAGAGACAGCTGCAGGCTTCGGATTAAGTGATAAAACTGTATTAATCTACTTGAAGCAAATCGGGAAAGTAAAAAAACTTGAATGATGGGTACCTCATGAATTGAGTGAATCGAACTTGCAAACACGCGTCGACTGCTGTGTTACTTTGCTCAACCGACACAAACATGAAGGGATTTTAAATCGAATCATTACTAGTGATGAAAAGTGGATACTGTACGATAATTGGAAGCGCTCGTAGCAATGGCTGAACACTGGAGATCCAGCCAAATCCTGCCCTAAACGAAAATTGACTCAGAAAAAGTTACTTGTGGGTGTTCGGTGGACTAGCACCGGTGTTGTTCACTACAGCTTTCTAAAATCTGGCCAAACGATTACGACAGATATCTATTGCCAGCAACTGCAAACCATAAAGGAAGAACTAGCTGCTGAAAAACGAGATTTGTCAATTGCTCTAGGCCACTGCTACTTTACGACAACGCAAGACCACACACTGCACAACAAACAACCACTAAGTTAGATGAGCTACAATAATTGGAATGTCTGCGACATCTACGGTACTCCCCGGACCTTGCTCCAACAGATTACCATTTTTCCAGGATTTGGACAACTTTTTACAAGGAAAAAAATTCAACTCCGATGCGGCAGTCCAAACCGCCTTCAAAGAGTTTATTGATTCTCGCTCCGACGTTTTTTTTTTAGTAAAGGGATCAATGAACCTATGAGATGGCAAAAGTGCATAGATAACAACAGTGTATACTTTGATTAATTTATTTTACAAAAAAAAATTGACTTTATATTCCTCCCGTACAAAACGCCAATTTCATATGTAAGGGCCTATTAATATCTAACATATATAAGCAAATGCATCGAGTGGTACTTGGAATGATTTTTTCAATCAGAACACAAGCGCCATCCGGTGGCACTGGACAGAGTCTACGACGTAGCGGCCGACCGGAGCTGCACACACATTATCGTGGGCTGTCGGAGAGTGAAGTCGTCTAGAAACTGTCCCGCGTTCCGTATAGTTTATACATAGAGATACTATTATAGATTGTGATTTATGTTAGTGATTATTTAAGTGATTTTTACTTATAATTACATTGTTGTTAATTATTGTGACGGCTTTTTATCGTTTTAAACCAACACCTCCCGTAGCGCCCACAGGAAAAATAAATTACTATGTCGGACGATAACGAGGGTAATTTACCCAATGCGAATTATATATATATATTATATAAGATGTATATGTAATTACATTAATATAGTAGCGTTTTGGTAAGCAATGCACTCAGATATGAGAGGAGGCCTATGCCAAGCAGTAGGACGTATTTAGGCCGTAACTTTAGATTTTAACTTTTATGCGTAATATACTAGAATGAAAAATTCTATAAGTTGACATACCATACAACTCCATTAAGGGGCACTCTATTTAATATGATTTCCTTGCCGATCTCAATCAGCTCCGTCCACGTAATTTTCACTTCAGCTGAGCTCGTGAAGTTGTAAATCAACGTTTCCTTGTCACTTTATAATAAAAATAAAAAATCATATTTAATACTTATATTAGACACAAATTGAATCTTTCAAAAATTTTGAATCGTTAAATAAAATTAATATTGTGCTTCAAGTTATAATTTCTGTAATAAGGAAAAATTTATGACATAAATAAATGGCCGTTGATGATTTTCTTAAAAAATCTGAATGATTAAATACATTTCATTATTAGATACTACCCACGTGAAGCCGGGGGCGGGGGGAGAGGGATGCTTATTGTACTTAATATTTTCACTATTCTCTGTGACTTAAAATAACATATTTACCCGCGCTGAAGGTAATTCCAAGCGACCACCATGATGGCGTTTATGAAGATGTCCACGGGAATATAGTCAGCATAACTGTTACTACGGCAATACATAGAACGAATGACGCCTTTGCCAGCACCTTTGCAACAATAAAAATAATTTAATTTGTCAATTTTATTACAAGAAAATCGCGTAGGGATTTTGGCGGGGGAAAATTGACCAATGACGTTGTCTATTTCTTTTGCATCAATACAAAGTATATTGCTATACCTACGTCAAATTCTCACCACTTCATGAATTAACTGGTAGAGAATGCAATAAAGAATAAATGAAAAGTAGGTAGATATTTTCTTATAACCGATAGATAAAAAAATACCTATTCTGATTTAATAGAATACGTACCAATAAGTAGACCGGTTGGTCCATTTAAATTGTCAGTCCAACCGGGCAGCGGCTCCCGTAAAATAGGTATGACTGCAGACAAAAATGTTTCATTACTTTTAGAGCATTTTAAATGTTTAACTAAGTAACTAAACGTTTTGCTGTAGTGGTGTGGGTAGCGGGTCTGATTACCGCGTGGGACAAGTTCCTATTTTTAAGTTATGCAAACGATAGTCCCGATTTTTAGTGATTATCTGTATTATGTTTACGCGCCACTGCAAAAAGGAGAAAAAAAGGAACGAAAGAAGAAAAAATAACGCACGTTTTAAATTTGGACCAATTTGGTGCTACAAAGCACCGGTCCTGAGCCATCTGCATCCATCGACTTTCTGCATGTACCAGGTAGTCATTCCATCTAGTGGGGGGTCGAGCTACACTTCACCTACCGGTACGAGGCTGCCACTCGAGAAGCTTTTTCCCCATCGGTTGTCGGTTCTTCGAGCTAGGTGGCCGGCCATTGCCACTTCAGTTTACTAATCCGTTGGGCTATGTCGGTCACTCTGGTTCTACTGCGGATATCCTAATTACTAAGTTCATCACTCAGAGAAACTCCGAGCATAGCCCTCTTCATAGCTCGCTGAGCTACCTTGAGCATCCTCATACGGCAAGTAGTGAGGAATCACGTCTCAGATCCATAAGTCATCACTGACAATACGCACTGGTTGTACAATCCCGTTTCCAAGTTTTGTAGTTATACCCGACGAGAAGATGTATCGTAATTTCCCGAACGCTGCCTAGCTGAGTTGAATCCGTCGAGCGACCTCTCGGTTCAAGTTGGAAGTCCGACTAGGTAAGAACTATTTGTCCCAGGTTAATATACTCGTCAACAATTTCGTTAGTAAAATTGATTTCTGAATAATTAAAAATGTATGGTATTTAATGATGCAATTGAAGGAGTTTAATTTCTCGTTTGAATTTTAAACACACGATTTTTTATTCTTTAAGAATATCTTAGAGAATAAAACAATCACGGGTTTATTCTTCCGTTAAGTACCATGTTTTCAAGCTGAAATTTAATTTTATTGATTGACAGGAATTTTTTTAGTCTATTTTAAAAAAACATCATTTATATTACACAAAAACAATTGTTGAAACTTACTGCATTATTCTCTAATGAATTATCTGTAGAATGGTATATACATAGTTAGTGTTGGTTTTATGAACTAACAAGAGTATAACTATAATCGTGTAAAACTAAAAAACACTCACTTTGAAAGAAAACGTTATAGGTTTAAAATTAAGCAATTACATATTTGAACTCAGAATATTTTTTTTATATTCTTAAGGGGCTTAATAAAACTGGCATTTTGTGAACGAACAATTCCGGTTAAATCATTACTGAAGAAGTTACGCATTTACACACACACACACACACACACACACACACACATATATATATATATATATATATATTATATATATATATATAATTATTTTTATATATAGTTATAATGTTTATATATATATATATATATATATATATATATATATATATATATATATATATATATATATACAACATGTAACATAATTACTTAACGCACTTTGAGAAAGTAGTTTGTTCAGAATCGTTTACTGAATCGATTCCTATCATTTTTAATATAGGTAACAAACTGAAATGGACCGTAACTTAAGGCAATAAGACTTTTAAGAGTGCAGTTTTATTTGTATTATTACTAATTCTGTCATTCAATAAAAATAAAGAAAAATGAACCTTATTTCAAGTACGTTAAAGTCTTTGCGTTCGTGGATTTGTACTGTGACCACAACATTCTTCCGGAATTAGTATAACTACTTTGATTAATAATCAGTGCATAAAAATGTTAACTAAAAATTCAGTGTATGTATTATGATTATAACATAATATACTAATTGGGGTGTCTGAGGGTGTGCGTTAATTACGTTACATATTATATATATGTGTATACATGTAACATAATTAACGCACATCCTGAAAGTAGTTTGTTCAGAATCGTTTACTGAATCAATTTCTATCATTTTTAATAAAAGTAATTTTTTATATCAAAAATTATTAAAAATACGTAAATTACAGTCACACTAAACCTGTATAGTCAAAACAAAGTGAAATGGATCGTAACTCAAGTAGTAAGACTTTTAAAATAGCAGTTTTATCTGTATTAATACAAATTCCGTCCTTCAATACAAAATAAAGAAAAATTAACCTTATTTCAAGCACGTTAAAGTCTTTGTGTTCGTGGATATGTACTGGGACCACAACATTCTTCCGGAATTAGTACAACTAATTTAATAAATAATCAATGCATTAAACTGTTTAACTAAAAAGTCAGTGCGTGAAATCGGTTCAGTAAACGATTCTGAACAAACTACTTTCAGGATGTCCGTTAATTATGTTACATGTTGTATATGTTTTTGAGGCAATGTAGATTTATTTCCAATTATAGCAAATAGAAAGCTTGATAAAATGTTTTTGGAATCAAACAAAGAAAAAAAAAACATTACATTACATTAGTACATTTCACTTTACTTTGGTCGTCAGTTTCTCTAAAATAAGTCCAAATAGTAGACGTCCTGCCACTCATTTTTATCGTATATTTATCAATTTGCACTAAGAATAACACAAAGAAATACATTTTTCCTCACAAAAATAGTCAAAACGTAAGCATGTGCCGAAAATTTGCTCAGTACTACTAGATGATGAGCGAGAGGCAGGGTTCGGTGCTAAGCCCGCGCGTTTTACGAAACAAGTTTCGACATAAAGTTAGGTACCATCGAACTATATTGCTAGCGTAATGGAACAGACACCCCGAACCAAAAGTTTGCTTCATTTTGGTAAGAGTTAGAACAAAAGTTCGATGCAGCGCTAAAATAATAGTTACGTCGTCTAACCAAACTATTAAAACATGCAGCGCTACTTTCCATTAGGGATTAGTTTTCTCGCGACCAAAACGTCATAAGCGCTAGGAATTTTATGGTTAATTATACGTATCATTTAACGTAGTGTAGAAGTCGCTCCCATAGATTTTACATTTTGCTCGATTCTCGTGAGTATTGTAACAACGCGAAAACTTTAAATCAAAGAGTTTAAACGTTTCAATATCTACTTAGTTCCAATAAAATGTTATACCATCACTTTTTTGATATTCTAGAGTGTTTACGAACACAACAATTCTTTAAGAACATAACCAGGCATTTTGAAGTTGTTATTTAAGCGAAGCGAACACGACTTGTCTGTCGTTGTTGTGGTACAGTGTACCGCAAAGCGTGGCGCAAAATTATGCAAGGCGTTGTCTTCTCTATACGTAGTAGTAATACCTTAATGTTAGGTACCGAATTTTTCCTACGGAATAATGTTCGGCCCAATATTTAGCCCAACTCTAATAGAGAGATATTTCAATTTTATTTATATGTGTATAGACTAGCTGTGCCCGCTACTTCGTTCGCTTGGAATCAGTACTTTGTTATTCAATGTGATGACGATTTATTTGTAAAATAAACTGTCGCGAAGACTTAGAAAGACACTAATCTGAATTTATTACATGTACCTATATGACATTCAGTTAGTCGGTCAATCAGGCAGAAAAATAAACGGACCCACAAACGAACCAAGAAACCAATAGCGCAAACTGTACGCTTGTGTTTTATTTTGTAAGTAAATAAACATCAAAATAACCGCAATAACAATAAAGTAGTCCCTAATTTGCTCCCGAATTTCTCTAGCCAATACTTGGTTTCCACACAACAAATAAGAGAGTGCCCTAAAATAAGCAAGTACAATCACTAATTTGAATAAAAAATTTGAAATGAAAACTACAATCCAATGCCTACCTAAAACTAAGTAAGTACCTACACTAATGCCCCATTTACATTCAGCCCTGTTGGGCAGGGAAGTGAGCAGGGCAGTGAGCAGGGCAGTATGTAAACAGGCTACTCGCGCTGACACTGCCGCTGCCGCTGCCACTGCCCGACGATCCCTCAAATGTCGGTTTTTCGCGCGGAAGTCAAAGGACGGGCAGCGCGAGCGGCTGTGAGTGTTCACATTCAGCTCCATCGCTCAATTCGCGCCAAGCGCCTGGATGAACGGACGTGCGTGCCGTCTTGTTATTAAATAAGTACGATCTGCCAAAATGCCTTTCGAGTGGAATAATGAAAATACAATAAAGTTTTAAGAGGATAGCTTGAAAATGAATCGAAGTTTCGGGGGCGTGGCTTATTCCTTTGTCGGTGAAGCTAACGGACGACTGAGGGAGTGTCAAAATGAAAGTGATGCAATGACTTCATAGTACGCAAATTATGAGATAGCCATACCGAGCAAGCGCTCGGAAAATAACTACGTAAGCGCCAAACAACATTTTTATTTATTTTAGCAATACTTCGTTATGGATTAAAAAACTGGTTTATGAAAACTTATATATGATTATTTACTATGCCTTAAAAATAATTCCATGAACTTATTCGTAAGAATATTGTGCTGTCACGGAAAAATGTAAATAATTAGAGCCTACTTTACAATTTTTTCTATCGAGAAAATTTCATGATATCGTGTTTTCCTAATCCAAGTTCATGAAGTCAAAAATCATATACCAAAATTTTGGTTTGTAATCTAAAAAACTTAAAAAAATATGTTAAATAGAAAAACCACCAAATTTCGAGGTATCACCTTAACTGCTGGAATCAGAAAAAACTGTATGGGATATCAACATTAAAAACCATAATTCATAATCTTCGACGAAAACGAATTTTCTTTTTGAGATAACATAATACCTATGTACATAATTAATTACAAATTCGTCAAATTTATTATATTAATATGAAATTTAGTTGAAGGAATTAATGAACATTGACATTTTATTTCTAAAAACAACAAGTAAGTCATATTGATTATTTATTTATTAAAATTTTTATTTATTTTTTATTTTATTTTTTATTTTTATAGAATAGGGTGACAAACGAGCACACGGTCCACCTGATGGTAAGTGGTTGCTGCGGCCCATAGACATCTACATCTATCCTCCATTAAAAATCAAAATCCAGATGCGTTGACACCCGTGAGGACCAACATGAATGCCTCGTTTCCAGTAAAAAGGGTCTCCAGTTCTCTACACTCACCATACGAAATACAGCAGCATTAAGCTACTATTTCACGCTGGTATTCTGTAAGAGCGTGGTCCTTCCCCGGTCGAGCCGACCCATTCGTGCTACAACTATACTACTAATATAACTGCAGCATGGCTCTACCACGTAAATATGTAAAATAATGTATTAAGTTAAATGGTAATATTTGCATAATAGCCTGAGATTTGTAAATTATAATTTTATTGTAATTAAAATTATGAATTAATTTATACTGTGTAATTATTAAAATAATGAGAGCTTAACCAATCTCATATAATATTTAATATTATTTATGTAACAATAATGTAATAATTTATGAACAATTTATTGTATAAGAATTCAAATAGAGTGGAATTGCAAAGTATTTAATTGTACATAATATTTGAATTCAAAAAGAAAGTTTGTACCTAACTTTTAAGCAATGAAATAATTTTAAAATATAACATTGGGTTTGTGTAATTAGCTGTATTTCATATCATTTTTGCATGCCAATTATGGCAAAACATGTCAGTTCCACGTCATTGATCATCTTATGTACCAGCTTTTTAAGTAAATAAATTTTCTTTCTATCTATCTTCTTTTGAACTTGATATCTTTTTAAATTATTAACATAATTTTGTATTGCAAGAAGACACAGCGCGGACGCTGTAGTTATTTCGACGTCTGCCATAGTCGAAAGCCGAAAGTGATGTGAGTGATGAGTGTTAGGGCAGAATGTAAATACACACTTCCCGCGATCCTGCTACGGCAGTATTTAGCGAAGTATTGCCGGCAGCGCGAGGAGCAGTGGCAGGGGCTGAATGTAAATGAGGCTTAACAAAATAATGAATCGTGGAAACTATGCCAAACATTGAGTTATTATAAATCAATGATTCCAAATATGAGGCAATCAGTGGGAGGCCTATGTTCAGCAGTAGACTTTAAAATGCTGTTACGGTTATTGGATTTTATTTCCTGGTCCAATACACACATTGCGTTGAAAGCAGCAAGTAAAGTAGTTATTTACGTATAGCTTCTGCCCGCGACTTAATACGCGGATCCTGTTGCTTATATCAGCGACAACGAGGTCGTCAAAATCGAAGATCTGAAACGTCTGATGTTGAATTCTAAGAGCCCGGGGACGGGAAAACAACGTGATTCGCGAGACCATTCGAGACGTTCTAGATCTGTCATTTTTGTAAGTCAACAGGAAATGCCCATCTTTTCCCTTTCCCTTTCTCTTCAGACTAAACAACTTTTGCTAAGACGTCATTCCTATATATGTTATAGTGTCGCTGGGCTTTGGATGGAGTGTAACTCCTTGTGTGTTATTAAGTTAATATATTGGTAATATTGTTTAGATCTGCTGGCCGTATGAGGACGCTTAAGGTCGCTCAGCGAGCTATGGAGAGGGCTATTCTCGGAGTTTCTCTGCGTGATAGACTCAGAAATGAGGATATTCCGCAGTAAAACCAGAGTGACCGACATAGCCCAACGGATTAGTAAGCTGAAGTGGCAATGGGCCGGCCATATAGCTCGAAGAACTGATAACCGATGGGGATGAAAGGTTCTCGAGTGCCAGCCTCGTACCGGTAGGCGTAGTGTAGGGCGACCCCCACTAAATGGAGTGACGACCTGGTAAGACATGCAGGAAGTCGATGGATGCAGGTAGCTCAGGACCGTGGTTTGTGGCATTACTTGGGGGAGGCCTATGTTCAGCAGTGGACTTGTGAAGGGCTGTAATGATGATGATGATGATTGTTTAGATCACGTTCACATGAGGCTTAAGCACTTATAGAACAAAAATACTTCAGCGCAAAGCTTCCGGGTAAACTATGTTGAAAGTTGACCCGTCCGGCACGTGAACATAAAGATTTCTAGAACTGCTAATCCGGGAAAGAGCAACGTACAACTGACCATGCGAGAAACAACTGACACCGAGATCTACTACAGCAATACGAAAAGTCTGCCCTTGAGCCTTATTAATTGAAATTGCATAACACACTGATACTGGGAATTGCGTTCTTTTAATTTGGAATGGAAAATTATTTGGTATTATGGGAATTCTGGGAATAAAGACGGTTTCTCCTGCACCGCAACCTGTTAAAATTTGAGCCTCGATTATATTTTGTTGCAACTGGGTTACTTTTAGCCGAGTTCCATTGCAAAGTTGTGGTGGTCTTAAATTTCGGAGCAGAATAATCGGAATGCCAATTTTTAACAAATTTCGTGAGAAGGAAGTCCGGGAATATTTAAAGAATTTAAAAATTCTATCGGATAATTATTGGCTTCTTGTTCATCGACCATTCTATTTATTGAACTATAAACTTTGCTTTCTGTATATTCGACAGTATTTTGTTATTAATCTCAGATGCCTGGTCATTGCGAGGAGTTAAAATGGATCTTTCGCATATCCAAGAATTGTCCCTATTTAATATAATTGTTACGTCATCGTAAACCGACGATATAAGATGTGTCAGAATAAGTTTTCCTTGGTGTAGTTGTGGATAGGTACCTTCACAAATCTTTAATAATTTATCAGAAAATTGACGATCATCCGGATTATCTCCAGTTCTCACTCGCATGTTTATAGTGTACCGATTGTATATCACGCCACAAATAAAAGCTTTTTAGGCAAGCCCTAACCTCATCAGCTCGGGTTCCCCGTGGTATTACCGGTAAGGTTTGTCGGAAATCACCACAAAATAAAACCGTGATACCGCCCATTGGTCGATCATTTTGTCTTATATCCCTTAAAGTTCTGTCTACCGCTTCTACTCCTTTTCGGAGGGCCATCGTACATTCATCCCATATGATTAAATTACACTCACGTAATACCTTAGCTTTGTCGCTATTTCTTGAAATACTACAGGTTGGACTTTCCGTGCGATCTAAATCAATTGGTATTTTAAACATAGTGTGAGCAGTTTTACCACCTGGTAGCAATGTTACAGCTATACCTGATGAAGCCACGGCAAGAGCAATTTTACGCTGATTTCGAACATAAGCTAATATTAATTTAGTCAAAAAAGGTTTTTCCAGTTCCTCCAGGTGCATCTAAAAACTATATTGTTCCCAAATTATTCTGAACACTCTCGTACACGCGATCATAGACTGAACGTTGTTCTGCAGTCATCATTGGGAGACCGTTTTCTAATGTTGCCAGCAGTTTCATTGAGTTGTAACCAATCTCTGCGGAATATTACCTATTGGTAACCTCTCCGACTGAGGTTCGTGTTGGCAAACCATATTCACACAGTGATTTACCGCCTACTGCTGTTATGTCTTCCTGAAGAGCTAATAAGCACATATTTATGGCAAGATCACGGAAATTATCATTAGTTGCGCCTTCATCATTGTGAGATATATTCCGAAGAAAGTCTTCTGCAAATTTTTCTTTATATTTTTTCCCATAATTGTACAGCATCTGACAAATTACAAAATGTGAGTAATGTTACAAATAAATGGCGTAACCGTCGTGGATTATCACTAACACAGGATTCTGATAAAGCGTCATCCCAATGCTGATCACTTTCAAGCAAACGACGTGCTTGGCAAGCTGCATGATAAGTTGGATAAAAAACATCGTCTACTTTCTCAAATCTATAAATGATGTTGGTCCTCGCACTGTATGTAATAATTCGTAACATGCGTTGAGGATGAACGGTAAGCATGTTCTTTGAAAATACCTGACTCGCCATCTATAGGCCTGCCACGGCGTCTACGATTAAAGACAATCGTTGCTTATCGTAGGTATAATACGATAGAACTTCCTCATATAAAAGAGATTTTGCAAAATCATCAGTTTGGCAAAGTTGAAAGAATGCTAATAAAGTTGTTTGTCTAGGGTTCTCTAATCGTTCTGTAACATTTTCGGCGTTGAAATATATACGTTGACCGCCTTCAAGATGAACATCCAGATGAGTCACAGGTGGATATCTTTCGTGAATGTTGAAACTTAAGATCCGCCACACAGCTTCTGAAGAGCTGATATATCTGCCTGACTGAAATCTAGTAACTTCATCATGTTCATTTCTCAACGCAAATGTAGCTTGGTCACTGCCCTTGTTAATATACTTACAAATGTATTTTATTGAATCTACACTATTACACATTTCAACATTATGGCTGATGCTTAGACAACACAGGCGAATACAGAACGACCCACCTATTATCTAAAGTAACCTGTTGTCCAGACACTTCGCTTTTCAACAGTAAAACCACCATTGTCTCTTGAACGGCGACGATATAATGGGTATCCATCATGTCCTGTTACAATTTCATCCACTAATGCTTTTGGATATCTTTTAGTGCAACGACCGTCTTGCATGCAATTCCCAATTCCCGTTAATTGCACCACATGGACCATGTATGTGTACCATGTACATGTACCATATATGAGTTTTAACAATGTCGTATAACACGGGATCTGCAATCGGATCTGGAATTTCAGCACTGGTTGAACTGTCTACATCATTAGGTCGAACCTTATCTTTTAACCAAAGCAGGATATGTGCGTGAGGTAATCCGCGTTTTTGCCACTCAACACTATACATATAACACAATACATCTCCAAAAATGTTATCCTTGGTAAGTAGATCTATATTGATATTAATTTTAAATGAAAAACTCTTGCGATAATATCATAGCGATCATGCGGTGCTTGACCCTCAATAAGCTCCCGAGTGATTTCATCCCACTTGGGATTGGTAGTTACAGTAAGAAATAAGTCGGGACGTCCATATTTTCTTACGTAACAAAAAGCATCTTGAGTACGTTCGTGCATGTATCGTGGACCACCAGTAAAAGAAGAGGGTAAAATAACTAAACGGCCCATATTCACCGTATCATTATCTTGCTGCATGGCGTCGCGAAGGTGCACGTTTTCTTCAGCGCGCAGCTATCTTTGATTAGATCGTATATAAACTAATCTTTCGGTTTAAATTTTTGCGTACATGTCAACAATAAACTGATTGAATAAGCCACGAAAACGTTGAAAATATACAAATCTATTCCGTCTCACTTGCAAGTGGTAACAATAAAATTGAAGGCATGACATCTTTTTATTATAATTAGGTGCGCCTGTACGCGGACCAGTTTGGTATAAGTCGAAAATATAACCATCTTCCCCTCGAGAGTATATCAAAGGATATTGCAAACTGTCGTAAGCCCTGTGGGGTTTCGTAAATATGTTGCAAACGATTGTCTCTGGAACGGTAACGTATGCTCCACATTCCTGGTCGACCAATACTACAGCTACTTCATTCGTGGATGGAACGTTATAACGCCCAGGGTGTTCCTGAGTTGGACGCCTATTGGCATTTATAACAATTTTATAATTGTTATCACCATCTTGAGGAAGAGCTTCTAATGCCGATTTAAAACCTATACCCTTATACCCTATACCCTATAACCTTATTTTAAAACCATACCTGGCATTGACATATTTAACGACTCTTATATTGCATACAAAATTAAACTTACAAATCACTTATCGTCTAGTTCCTGATACAAATTACATCTGCAATATAATATATCTTATACTTTAATTAAAAATATATATACTCCTGAAGAGAGTATAATATCCACCACATTCCCTTTTAAAAATTCCTGCCAAAGTTATGATTTTGAGGTTAGTTCTATGGGATTTTCTTTTTGATTTTTCTCAAGAACGGTGCATTACCTTTTAATGGGAGTGGTATTATTATAATCGGGGACCAAACCTCTACCAAATAAAACACCTTACTCCCCCAAATTCCTGTCAAACGATTCTAAATTTCAACCTTAACTTTTTTTTAATTAGGGATGAGTGAGAGTGTTATAAACGTAAGAGTAGACAAATATAATCAGAAAGCTCCGAACTGCTAAGCTATCGGGAGTAACACGTGTTATTGTGAGTCAACCATAAAAGATAGACATATGCTGTCGTGGGATATTTTTTATATAATTTTAAGGAGAATATTTCCGTTATACATGATTTCTATGTAGCTTTAAACATTAAGGCTGCACACGCGAAGGAAGCTTAAAAATGGAGTAATTTCTCCCGTTTCCCCAACATTTTCCTTCTCTACTCTGCTCCTATTAATCCTAGCGTGATGAAAAGTATACTATAACCTGCCCAGGAGTAGGTGTTACAGCCTATATACGTCCCACTGCTGGGCTTGCTCCCCTATTTCTGAGAGGGTTTAGGCAAGAAGTGTCCGCCGCGCTGCCCAAATGCGTGTTGACGAACTTACTGTCTTCGAAATATTTTCTTATTTATGAGTGGGCTTAAAATTGCTTTGGTGCCGGCGGAGTAGGCGGTTGAAGAATGATTGTACTAAGATTCGTTAAAATCCGTCGAGTAGTTTTTGTTTCTATAATGAACATACAGACAGACAGACAAAAATTTTACTGTTTGCATTTTTGGCATTAGTATCGATCACTAATCACCCCCTGATAGTTATTTTGGAAATATATTTCATGTACAGAATTGAGCTCTCTACAGATTTATTATAAGTATAGATTGGCCTAAAAAATGTCTTTAATGAAAATACTGCGTGGCATATTCACTATGGCAGATACCTAACAAGCGGCGCCCGCACGATCCACAACTCTGTATCAATTATTTATTGTATACTAGTTTGCCAGGCAGACGTTGTTCTGCCCTTTTCGACGACCCTTTGTCACGTTCTATTAAAAATCCTTAAATTCGCAAAAAAAAAAATTGTGGGTCTTTCATGGGCAAAAATACTATCCTCTCAAGTTGAACCAAACTGCACACGGTGTGCAAATTTGATTAAAATCGGTTGAGTAGTTTAGAAGTCCATCGCGGAGAAACAACGTGACACGTAATTTAAATACATACAATGTATATTAACTTTTGCAATTATCGGATTTTTCTTTGAAGAAATTCTCAGAAGTATCCTGAAGTTAGGAAGGTACCGGTTTTACAACACCCGATGTCTCGGAAAGCTCGTGAAACTGTTGTTCCTGTGCCTATTATCTATTCGGTTGCGCCGAAACGTTATTCCATCGAACTATGAGAGTTAGGGAATGCGGTGTGTATTTGTGCTTGCGCACACAATCGTGCGCCATAACCCTTAAAATACCTATAAATCTATGATGGATTGACTTGTTACTCTAAAATTAAAAAAAAAACCTAAAATGGTTCTAGTCCCTCACAATAAGAAAGATAACATATTATGCGGTTATTTATTAGTATTCAAACATTGTGAAAAATTACTACCAACTTATCAGTATACTGTTGTATAAAAAAGCAAAAATAGAAAATATTACCAATGGAAGGTCTAACGATCATTACAGGGATCTGTTTCATAGCTTCTACAGCCAGTCCTTCAGCGAGCGCCTTTGTGAACGCATACGAATTCGGCAGGTTGTTAAGTAGTCTGTAAAAAAAGTTTATACATACTTATTTGATTCTTAAGCATCTTATGATTGCATGACGTATCGCTTGACAGTGAATGGCGGTGTAACAAGGTAAAGAAGCTGAAAGTGCGACGGAGGGTAAAGAAGCTGGAGATGGGTAGCAGCTTCTTCCACTTAACAGTTCAAAATTTTAAATAACTTCAGCTGTTAAGTCGCTACTCAAGCATGGAAACTGTAGCAAAGTCGCCCTCCCTATAAGTAGTTTAATGTTTCGAGATTTTATCCAATCCAATATTGAAGGTCTTTACCGGCGGTAGCATTCAATTGGTAACAACACGATTTGTAATAAAATTCTTGGGGATCTCTTTGATTGCCCTATAGAAGAGTTCAAGTTGATGTCCTCTCAAACATATGTTGCTATTCAGTAAGTATACATTTTGTAAATTAGGCACATCATAATACCGTGTCAGCAGTTATAATTTTTCAGTCACTATTCATACATACGTCTGTAAAGATTTTTTTATATTGTTCATACTTAGGCGCAATATTCTCCATGGTTTCAGTATCGAAGATCTCCGCAGCGGCGACAACTTTGTGCGGGTCAGCTGGCGGGTCGTAAGGTCTCTCTTCCAGCAGCTTCTCGTGGAGGTGGCAATAGGCAGTCGATATGTGGATGAACAACTGCGCAGCAACATGCAAACATCAAAATGTCAATTAAACCAAAAAGCACCACCACTCTATAGCATCCCATGGGTCTCGTAAGAGGCGATAGAAGGAAATAAAGCAGGATATGGGTGCCAGAATCTTCCTGATAACAGTTGAATCTGAATAAAAATAATAGTGTAGCTCGTCAATTGTGGCAACTATGGAAAATGTCCTCCCCCCCACTGAGACAATATTTGATGGAGGCGTAAGTCCAGCAAAAGACATTCATAGATTATAAAAAAGATGAATAAATAAAACTCAAATCACGGCATCGAAAAATTTTTTAACCATCAATTGTCTACAGTACGGTAGAGCCGTGGTAGCTCAGATGGTTAACGCTCGCTGTAAATATAACAGAACGCGAGTAACGCGGGTTCGATCCCCGCCGGCACCAATGAAACCGTTAATTGCAATTTTAAGTGCTGATTTACCACGTGCTCTGCGGTGAAGGAAAACATCGTGAGAAAACCTGCATGTCTGAAGAATAAAAAAAATATTTCGAAGACATGTGAAGTTCACCAACGCGCATTGGGGCTGCGCGGCGGAAACTTCCTGGCCCTAAAACCTTCTCAGAAATGAGGGGAGGCCTGTGCCCAGCAAGTGGGACGTATATAGGTACTTAAAAGCCAAGCTGAAAAAGGCCAAGAAGAAAAGAGTATTTTTGTGGAAGTTTTGAAGTAAAAACATCAGACCGGTAACGAATTTGAATAAAAATCGCCATGACAACCAGATAAACAACGATGTCAAATCATGTCAAATTTTGGTTTCAGGCTCGTAATAGAGAAACGGCAAGATTTAAGTGAAAAATGAGATATTATTGATATAGGAAAAAAGGTAGCGCAACAGCGCGCATGAAGCTCGAAATTGCAGAGTTACGGAGAACTAAATAAAAGATCGAAAAAGGTAGACTCCATTGACACCGATTTAAAATGTGCTGATAGCGTGAAAATACGAAGTGAAAATGATTTTTTATTGTGTTCTTATGGTTTAAAAACTTTATATCTATACTTTACTTTACTTTAACTTTAATTGTCTACGGAAAATCGGGACTATCGGAAACAAATTAGGAACTAGATGTATAGCAGCGTATTCTTAATAACGACTAAAAATAAAAAACTGCGGTTGCCAACGCGCTTGTGGCAACTATGGCAAATATTCCCCTATGGGGTAGGCCTGTGTTCAGTAGACTTTAATAGGCTGTAACGGGACCGATAACGGCAAAATAGCCTCCGCTATGCGCTCACTGTCTACCCAGCTTGGTGAGCTTAGGCAAATCTTCCAAGTAATAAATGCCAGCCGGCGCATCTTCTTCTTCATCTTCGTCATCCACCTGTTAAAACTCGACCGCCTCTCTCGTTGTAGGTAGTTTTTGCCTTAATCCTCGCGCATTGCAGGCCTTTTCCCGATTGCAGTACCAGACGTTTGAACTTAAACGCTGTTTTACGTCGTCAATCTGAGTATTTCACATCTAAGTGAGCGTGGAGAACCGGAACCCGTTTTCATTGGAAATGAGGCATTCCACCTTAGTCCTCGGGGGTGACGCATCTGCATTTCGATTCTTAATCGAGGATAGATGTAGATGTCTATGGGCCACAGCCATCAGTTACCACCAGTGTGATTGTGTGATCCTTTGCCACTCTAATCCTATAAAAAAAATGAGATAGTTATACCGTATATTTTGAAGCTTGTTTAAAATAGAATGAATTATAAATACATCTTTTTTAAAACGTAGATGATGCATATGACATAGCATGACATTATGTTTTCCAGATCGAATTCCGGCCACGGTGGCCAGTCAACGGAGGCTAGCCATCGGCGCTGGACAGGATTATAGTGCCCAAGTGTATGCGCAAGCACAGGTGCGCTCTCTTCCCTCACTCTCATAATCCAATGGGATGGTAAACCGACACGACCGGAGAGAGATGAGGCGCAGGACCAACAGCTTTGTGTGCTTTCTGAGGCACGGGGGTGAGACACCGCCAACTTCCTGACTTCGGGCAGCTACTGAGAATTTCTTGATGGAAAAACTCAATGATTGATTTTTTATCCCGACCCGGGATTCAAACTCAAGACCTCATGATCAGCAGTCACACTACTACAACCAGTAGACCAACGAGGCAAAATGACATAGAAGGCATAGAATACAAACTAACATACTTATGTAGTAAATATATTTATATACTCTTTGCTAAAGCAAAAAAATAAATTACATTGTACATTTAGAGTTTATTTTTACTATGATGGAGTGTTAACAGGACGTGAATCCTATACCTTTAAGCGAGCAATTCTTGTATATATATATAATCGAAATCTCGGAAATGGCTTCAACCATTTTCACAGAATTTTGTGTCCAGGGGCTGTTGTAGGGAAGGAGCAGCAACAAATGAGAACAGCTCATGTTAGGAAAGAAAGGAGATGCACTTACTTGGGCGTTGATTTTCTAGCGGCCTTTTACTTAGGCCTGAGATTGATGGCGCTACGTTGCAGCTGCGGTGGTGCGCAAAGATAAATTCGTAGCGCGATTGCCACAGAGGTGCCATCACATCTAGTGTTGGTCTTCAACTACTCGGCACGGTGGCGGCACGTCGATGACTCTCGACGGCCGATGGCGTGTTTTTGATCTTTCACTTTTAGGCTAGCACGTCTTATTGATCGCCCATAATGACGCCACCATATCTGTCCTTCAATTGGACATGTCCGTACAGAAAGGAGACGGAAGTGATGGGGAGAAAATACTACCAGCCAATATAATCCACAAAATATGCTTTTTGACGCAACCACTCACAATTTAAAGATCTTATTGAAGCTGCGTTTTACCTTACCTTTAGTTTTTTGGATTGCTTTGCTAAGTCCAAGATAAGTTTGGTGCTACGAACGTTTAACTGTATGGCTTTCTTCAACGCCTCGTCGAATCTAAAATAAATAATATTCATGGAATATTTTTATGTTTTTTATTTAGAGTTTTTGTAACCTACTAAGTTTTATTAATTAGTATTATTATTTACTCGGTGTTTTAGTGAGATAGAAGCGACAGAAACTTAACCATAATTATAAAAAAATATAATATGATGACATGGAATAGAAAGATGTAACGAACTCCAAATATCTCCTATTCCAAACTCATCATCATCGTCATCATTACAACCTTTCTCAAATCTGCTGATGAACATAGGCCTCCCACAAGGTATGCCACAAGGCACGGTCCTGAGACACCTGTATCCACTTCAACTAGTGGGGAAACCACGTCCAAAAATGAACTGAAACGGACAGAAGAAGAAAATGGTGTGGAATGACAATGTGTAGGAGAAAGATGATTTATGTCAAAGCTTAATGGTTTAATTTGCTGCTTTATTGGATAACCGAAAGTCAACTCAACGATTGAATTAAAAGCCGCTAAGGAGTATAGATAAATTAAGCTCCCTTTTCTGCCAACGACGTTTTTTTCAAATAGAATAAAAAACGAAATCAAAGTACACCTGATGGTAAGTTGATGGTGGGGCCCATAGACATAGCCCACATTTATCCTCTATATTAAGAAATAAAATGCCGATGCTTTCTAACACCTAAAGACTAAGATGTAATGCCTGGTCTCCAGAAAAAAGCGTCCCTGGTTTTCTACACTCACCATACTAAACACTGCAGCATTAAGCTGCTATTTAATGCTGATATTCCGTGAGAGCGTGGTTGTATCCCGGTTGAGCCTTGCCATTCGCGCCATAACCATAACTAGCTACAGACTGGCTTTACTACGTGTAAATAATAAAAGTAGCACTATGTAACTTTTAAAGTTTTACACTAAGCCGTGTGGTGACAGTGTAAGAGATTCTATCAGCACATTTCGTCCCGTGGGTGTCGTAATAGGTAACTGTAGGATATACTAAAAATCCTATGGCTTCAATATGTTGTTAGCACCAGGCTAAAATACCCAGAACCATGTAGTTGCGGTGTAGGAATATATACTACCCCATAACGTCCTTAGGGTGTCGTAAGAGGCGACCGACGGAAACTAAAATGCAACGATGCGCAGCAGCACTTTCCTAATAACAACTCAAAATACTCCCGAATAGGCAATCTACATAAGAGCCCACTCGTATGTTCAGCAGTAGACTTGTGTCGGCGCTGTCGTCGCGCCACAAGCAAAACGAACTGAAGCCTAAATCACGCTATCAAAGTTACGAAGTACTGCGCCATTTATAGAAGAGCTCTATACTATCATACGGGTGGCCGTTCCGGGGGTCCTTTTCTTTCATGACAAAGACTTTTATGGACTGTAAAAAATTTTCATGACCAAAGACTTTTATAGGCTGTAATTGAAAATACCCACTAAAATGAAGAAATCACAAACCTTACTGTAGCAGCAGCGTGCACTATGATGTCCACATTGTCGACAATGTATTGGCGGCAACTGGCTGATATAGCGAGGTCCGGTTCGCTCACATCCCCACCAATGATGCGCATTTTGCACAGGAGCTTGTCGACGCCACCTCGCAATGCAGCCACCTTAGCAAAGAGCTGTAAGATGACAGCATATTTTTATCTTTCATCCTTTATATCAAAATTCTGGTGCGTCGTTACCTCTGAGGTAAAGGAAGACCGAATGCTTTTTTACGATTATACGTGATAGATCCACTCTGGAGTTATAATATGGTAGTAGCACGTGTGGGTCTACTTACCATCAGTTGTGGACTAAGTTGAGGTGACTTTCGGTTATCCAATTAAGCAGAAAATTAAACCATCGGGCTTTGACATACATCATCTCTCTCCTACACATTGTCATTCCACACCATTTACTTCTTCTGACCGTTTCGGTTCACTGTCGGACGTGGGTGCTTATTATTGTACGGAGACCCCTTTTACCCGAAATGAGGCATTCCATCTTAATTCTCACGAGTGACAACGCACCTGCGTTTTGATTCTTAATTGAGATGATGATGTCTGTGGGCCAGAACCTCCACTTACTATCAGGTGGATTGATCCATTTGTTGATCCATTTGTATGTAGCCGTAATATGCTACAAAGCAACTCTACCTTTATTGGCCACCACGCGACAGTTCTAAGCAAATAAAGCTACAGGTGTGTTGTCATCGTATACCGTGTAGTGTTGGTGTAAGAATATCCACTACCCCGTATTATCCCGTGTATGTTGTAAAAGGCGGCAAAGGGAAACAAGTCAGCCAGTGGGCGCAGCGTTTTCCTAATTACGACTAAATATAAAATATGCGGTTGCTAACTCGCTGGCCAAGCGTGGTAACTATGGCAAATATTCCCCATATGTGGCCATCTATGGAGGAGGCCTATATTCAGCAGTGGACTTTAATAGATTTGTAGCGGTAACGGCGTAGTCACCTCTGAGGAAGTGACTACGCCGTTACCGCGGAGGATATTCTGGACCCCACCATACAACTATACATTTCCCGTTTGGACAAAAGTACGTCAGGAGAAGATGTCCTGCTTTTCGTGATAGAAAAAAGCCGATACCGCATAGAGGATCCGATCTCTTTACATTTGCAGCGTCTGGACTCTAATTGGTAAACGAACTTCAAATCTTACGTACTCCAGGTTCCTGCAAAATACAAAGAGATATTCCTCGCTCCCGATTTGTGGGCCTCTGGGGTAGTGTTTCGGCGATACCAGGACGCGCCAAAGAAGAAAGTTCCCTAAATATTGTTATATTTATATTTTATTCATATTTTAAGGGTATATATTTTTATGGGCCACTGTTCTTAATATTTAAGTTCTTGATGCCTGAAATAAAGTTATTGTATTGTATTGTACATGTAATATTAACTTACAGGCTCATTAAAAATTAGTTGTAAACGCTCCTGTGGACATTTCCCTTTCTTGTTTCGTATAAGAATGACTATTTCGCGAATTTTGGGGCATTTTCTGCAACAAAAAAGAGTTGATTATATATGGGTACATCATAATGACGTAAGCCAAGGGTATTAATGTCCTCTGTAGCTTTCTTTTACGTTGATACTGGCGCCGTCAGCCAATAGTTATATGCATATAGTATAGACAGTATAGACGCCGTGTAGTGGCGGTTAAGAAATATCCACTACCCCATATCTTCCCGTGGGTGTCGTAAAAGGCGACAGAAGGAAACAGAAAGGAGATGGACAGCAGCATCTTCGTGATAGCAGCTACTATACAAAAAAACTGCGGTTGCCAACCTGCTCTACAAGCATGGCAACTATGGCAATATACCCCCCATGATAGTTACGAAGAAACGGCCCCCATTCCCCGGCGGCCCGTTATTCCTGGCTACGGTGGCGACCGTGGTAACGACAGGACAGGGGATGCTAGGAATTTCCGGTAGAGGTTGGGTGGCCACCTACGACGACTCAACCTGGCAACATATAACGCACGCACCCTGTGGGCCGACGAGAAGATCCTGGAGCTGGAAGAAGAGATAGACAAGTTGCGCTGGAATATCACAAAACGTCGAAGAGAAGGGGAGGACACGGTGATTCTCGAATACGGCAACTTGTTCTATCACCGGGAGGGCGACCATCTGTCCCAAGGAGGTGTTGGATTTAAGGTCCACAAGTGTCTCGTTAACAACGATGTAAAGATTGGGAGTGTGTCGACGAGGGTTGCGTACCTTATACTCAGAATCACCAAACGGTATTCGCTGAAGGTCATACAGGTTTACGCACCAACGTTGGAACATCCCGTTGAGGAGGTGGAGGAAATGTATGAGGATATTTCTAGAGCCATGCATTCCTCCAAAACTCACTATACGGTGTTAATGGGAGACTTCAACGCAAAACTAGGCACAAGAAAGAACGGTGAGCTGAAGGTAGGGAAATTTTGGATGGCGGAAGGAAGACAACGGAACTCAAGGGGCCAGCAGCTGGCCGATTTCATGGAGAAAGAGGGACTGTTTATGACGAACGTTCCCTTCCTGAAGCGGCCCCACGGAAAGTGGACTTGGTCGAGCCCCGACGGTTCGACAAAAATGAGATTGACTTCATTATGACGACTAGACGGCAACTGTTCAGTGATGTCTCAGTGATCGCAAGGGTGAAAACTGGCAGCGATCACCGAATAGTTAGAGGCACATTGAACCTATACATTAAGTTGGAGAGATCGCGTCTAATGAAGTCAACGCTCCGTCCCCCTCGTGATCTAATCTAAAATCACGAAACCTTTCAGCTTGAGTTACAAAACCGCTTTCAGTGCCTAGAAGATTGCAATGCAGTGGACGATATGAATGGCAAGCTCGAGGAAACTGTCTATGCGGTCGGAACTAAGTTCCGCAAGAAAAACACAAAAACTCACATCTTATTCTCATGGTTGTTAGACGGGAGATGAGGCTGCAATCGTCAGCATATTTGACAGCATACAGGCAACTCAACAGACAAATCTACAAATGCATGTGGCGAGACATCATCATTTCATCATCATTACAGCCCTTCACAAGTCCACTGCTGAACATAGGCCTCCCCCAAGCAACGCCACAAAGCACGGTCCTGAGCCACCTGCATCCATCGACTTCCTGCATGTCTTACCAGGTCGTCACTCCATCTAGTTGGGGGTCGCCCTACACTTCGCCTACCGGTACGAGGCTGCCACTCGAGAACCTTTTTCTCCAACGGTTGTCGGTTCTTCGAGCTATATGGCCTGCCAATTCAGTTTACTAATCCGTTGGGCTATGTTGGTCACTCTGGTTCTACTGCGGATATCCTCATTTCTAAGTTTATCCCGCAGTGAAACTCCGAGCATAGTCCTCTCCATAGCTCGCTGAGCGACTTTGTGCGTCCTCATACGGCCAGCAGTAAAGCACCACGTCTCGGTTCCGTAGGTCATCACTGGCAACACACACTGGTTGTACAACTTAGTTTTCAGGTTTTGAGGTGTACCTGACGAGAAGATGTATCGTAATTTCCCGAACGCTGCCCAGCTGAGTTGAATCCGTCAATTGACCTCTCGGTGGAAGTTTGATTTACCCAGTCGGACTATTTGTTGCAGGTAAACGTACTCATCAACAACTTCGAGCTTAGTGCTCCCAACAACGACCGGCATATGTGTGACAGGGACATTATACATGATCTTCGTTTTGTCCATGTTCATCTTAAGACCTATCCGTAGGGAGGCACTATTGAGATCATTGAGCATAGTGCTTAAGTTCTCCATAAGGATTATATCGTCGGCAAATCGAAGGTATGTACTCGCCATTGATGTTAATACCGTATCCTTTCCAGTCCAGTATCTTGAAAACGTCTTCCAATGCAGCGGTGAAGAGTTTCGGGGAAATAACGTCTTACACCTCTCTGCAGTTGGATAGGTTTCGTACTGTGGTTCTGTACTCGGATAGCCAACGTAGCCCTACTGTACAAATACTTCTTATACCGACAGGCAACTTGGCACCGCTGAATAGACTGTAGCACCTCTCAAATTTCGACGGAATCATAGGCTTTCTCATAGTCCACATACGCCAGGCAAAGTGGCAGATTGATTAATGTCTTCGGACTTCTGTGCAATTTGCTGAAGGGTATGTATGTTGTCTATGGTACTAAAGCCTTTTCGGAAACCGGCTTCTTCGGGAGGCTGGAAGTCGTCGAGTCTGCATGAGAGACGGTTCGTAATGACTCACGAAAACAGCACGTAGACGCGGCTCAGAAGGGATATCGGTTTGTAGTTCTTCAAGAGGGCGTTGTCACCTTTCTTGAAGAAAAGGCCACCGCACTTCTGCACCACGCCTCCGGAGTAGTGCCACCATGGAGGGCGGAATTAAAGAGCCTCTGAAGGACTTCAAGTACCGATTTCCCACCCGCTTTCAGAAGCTCCGCTGTAATTCCATCCTCACCCGGGGACTTGCCGTTTTTAAGGTGCTGGAGAGCCATTCTAATCTCGGTCAGACTGACGTCCGGGATATCATCGGAATAGTGTCGGATAAGACTTGCTCTTGGATCGTTACTCACACTTGCGTGTAGCTCCAACGATGATGTGTACGCTGCCCATAGAACCTCTCCATCTCACTCAGAATCTCAGTTGTCCCGGAAACGATGCTGCCACACTCAGTCTTCAGCTTTGACAGTTGGCTCTTACTGGCAGACAGATCTCTGGCAAAGATTTTGGAGCCCTGGTTTCGCTCGATCGCTTCTTCAATACGAGCAGTATTAAAGTTACGTAAGTCTCGCCGCATGCATTTGAAGATCTGTCTGTTCAGTTGCCTGTATGCTGTCAAATCTGTTGACGATTGCAGCCTCATCTCCCTTCTAACAGCCATGAGATTAAGAGCGTGATCGAAGAGTTTTTATGTTCTTCTGCGGCGGGTCTTGCAGAACTTAGCTCCCACCGCATGGACAGTTTCCACGAGCTTGTCATTCATATCGTCCACTGCATTGCAATCTTCTAGGCACTGAAAGCGGTTACGTAACTCGAGCTTAAAGGTTTCGGGATTCTGGATTAGAGCACGAGGGGGACGGAGTGTTGACTTTATTAGACGAGACCTCTCCAACTTAACGTTTAAGGTCATTCAGTGTGCCTCTAACCATTCGGTGATTGCTGCCAGTTTTCACCCTTGCGATCACTGAAACATTACTGAACAGTTGGCGTCTGGTCGTCATAATGAAGTCAATCTCATTTTTTGTCGAACCGTCGGGGCTCAACCAGGTCCACTTCCTCTGGGGCCGCTTCTGGAAGAAAGAATTCATCATAAAGAGTCCCTCTTTATACATAAAGTCGGCCAGCTGCTGGCCCCTACGGTTCCGTTGCCTCATCCCAAATTTCCCTACCTTCAGCTCACCGTTCTTTCTTGTGCCTAGTTTTTGCGTTGAAGTCTCCCATTAACACCGTGTAGTGAGTTTTGGAGGAATGCATGACTCTAGAAATATACTCATACATTTCCTCCACCTACTTATCGAGATGTTCCGCCGTTGGTGCGTACACCTGTATGACCTTCAGCGAATACCGTTTGGTGATTCTGAGTATAAGGTACGCAACCCTCGTCGACACACTCCCAATCTTTACACCGTTGTTAAAGAGACACTTGTGGACCTTAAATTGACCTACTTGGGACAGATGGTCGCCTCCCCCCCCCCGGTGATAGAACAAGTTGCCGTATTTGAGAATCACCGTGTGCTCCCCCTCTTTTTGACATCCTGTGATATTCCAGCGCAACTTGTCTATGTCTTCTTCCACCTTTAGGGTCTTCTCGTCAGCCCTTCAGGGTGCGTGCGTTATATGTTGCCAGGTTGAGTCGTCGTAGGTGGCCACCCAACCTCTACCGGAGATTCCTAGCACCCCCTGCCCCGCCGTTACTACGGTCGCTACCGTAGCCAGGAATTCTGAAATTTATTTTTAACGTAATTAATTCAAAAGGCATTTCCGAAGTCCAAAAAAATGTAAAAGGTTCGAGCTTAACCCTGACAAACCTCCTAAATTGAAAATAAAATTAAAAATCAAGTACCGGACGTCTACTTTATAATTTGAGAACAAATTGAAATATTAGGTTTCGTTTTAAGCAATTTTTAGTGAAATTCATTTTTATCGTAATTAATTCAAAACGCATTTCCTACACGCAAATACTGTGTAAAAGGTTCAAGCTTAACCCTTATAAGCCTCCTAAACTGAAAACATAATTAAATTCAAGTACCGGATATCTGTAGCCAACCCAAACTTATTTGTTCCGATTTGGTCGAATTATATAACAGTCAAAAATTAATATTTAACTCTAAGTAGGTACGAAAGCTTTAAGAATTCTCAGTCCCTTTGCAACATCCTATGTCTGCGATGCTATGTTTTCAACTGTAGCTATTTCGGTATAATAAAGAGCAAATATTACTCAAAAGTGAATGTGGAGTAAGTAGCAGTATCAAGTCTAATCTCGCATTTTGAAAAAAAAAATACTTAAGGAGATCAGAAAGGTTACAGGATTG